GGCGAAAGATAGTCTCTACCCTCAAGGAGCTCACAATCTAATGGAGAGGAGAATATGCAAGCACATACATACAAGGCAAGCTATATATAGGATAATTTGTTGCTGTTGAGTTGTATCATGACTCTGGTGCTCCTCAGTGTGGTGGATCACTTCAATTGTCTGGCTTGTAGGCAGACACATGGAAGGTCTGAGACCTAGGCTGGCCACAGTGGTGTCTGAAGGCTGAGTGATGGGGGCCACTCAACCTCCCTGGCCTCAGGAGCTACTGTGGGGTCCTGCAGCTTCTTCAGCCTGAGTTGCTGCCTATGGAACACAGCCTTCAGCCCCTGAAAGCTCCTGCATTCCTGATGCGCACCCCCCCCCCCCCATCTTCTAGAGTCCCTGCACAGAGAGAAAGGGTATTAGGTTCAAATTCCAACTGCTAAACTTCCTGGCTGTGTGACCCTAGGCCAGCCCTTCAACCTTTGTCTGATAGGGTGGCCACACTCATAGCACCTGCCTTCCATGGTTATAGATGTGTGTGATAATAGGAAAAGTTGGAAATCAAAAATGTCTTGGTGGTATGCTCTTGGGATCATGGCAGAAAACAGTTTTGCTGTCCCTTTGGATGAAGATGACAAAGATGACTCAATCTGGTTTCTGGATCGCAACTATTTGGAAAATATGGATGGAATGCTTAAGAAGGTCAATGCTAGAGAAAGGTTGGGTGGTATTATACAGGTCCAAAGCTACATGAGAATGACATTGCCATCAATGAACTCATGAAAAGTTACTGTTCTAACTCAGTGCTAGTGATTACTGATGTGAAGCCAAAGGACCTCAGGCTGCCCACAGAAACATGTATTTCCCTTGAAGAAGTTGATGATGAGGGAACTCCCACCTCCAAGACATTTGAGCACATGACAGTGAAATTAGAGCAGAGGGAGCAGAAGTGGGAGTAGAGCACCGGCGACCTGACTCTAGTGGGTCATAGCCACTGCAGGGCAGAGCAAGGTTGTGACTATCATAGAGACCCAGACTGAGCACTGAAAGGAAGATGCCTTGGAAGCCATCTGCCCCAAGCCCATACTTTCCAGAGAGGAGACTGAGGTTCAGGGTGGTGAAGGGCTTGCTCAAGATCACAAGACAGGATTGAGCTCCATCCCCTTTCTATTATGCCCTCTGCTTCCTACCATTTGCCTAAAACACAGTGTAGCCATGTTTCTATATGCACTTTTCTTTTTTGGGGGAGTCATTTTTTTATTTTGTATCCTAGTGAGTCTGATTTGAATATTTCATATTTGTGTGGCTCTTATGTTTGAATAGGTACAATTGTCTGAACAATTATGGTATATGAATGCAATGGAATACTATTGTGCCATAAGAAATGATGAGCAGGTGGACTTCAGAAAAACCTGGAAAGACTTATATGAACTGATGCTGAGTGAAGTGAACAGAACCAGAAGACCATTGTACACAGTAACAGCCACACTGTGTGACAACTAACTTTCATAGACTTGGTTCTTTTCAGCAATGCAAGGATCTAAGATAACTCCAAAAGGCTCGTGATGGAAAGTGTTACCCATATCCAGAGAAAGAACTGTGGAGTCTGAATGCAGATTGAAGCATACTATTTGATCTCTCTTTTTTTGGTTTGTTTGTTTTGTTTCTTCTTTCTTGTGGTTCTTCCCATTGGTTTTAATAGTTCTTTACAACATGACTAATGTGAAAATGTTTAATAATTAATGTATATGTAAAGCCTCTATCAGACTGCAATGCAGTCCTGTGGAGGGAGGAGGAGAGGGGACAGGAGGGGAGAAAATTGAAAACTCAAAAGCTTATGTAAATGAATGTAGAATAAAAAAATAAAAATAATTAATTAATTAAAAACATATCTTCCTCAAACCCACAAAATATACTTTCAATTCCATTATTCAAGCTACTGATATAAATATTAATTATGTTGATACAGGAAGAAAAAGAAAAGCTACAATTGTTAAGGTTCCTTTTGGTAGGTTGTAATTCTATTACACAATTAAGCTTCAGCATCCCATTGATGCAGCACTTTTTAGAAGTGGAAGATAAAAGTTACTGTATTTGATTTGCTTCTGACCAGATGAGTCATAGGATCTTTAAATAATAATTAACTTTTATATGTATTATCTTTAACTTTGCAAAATACTTTCTTCACAACAGCACTTTGAAGTAGGTCATGCAAATATTATCATGATCCTAGGATTTAGGGATGAAGGGGCCCTTAGAAATAAATTATCTAGTTCAGTCTCATTTTGAAATTGAGATTTGGGGAGGTTAAGGAACTTGCCAAGGTAATACAGATTATAAGTAGCAGAGCCAGGGCCCAAATCTGAGCCCTTTGTCTTCAGCTTCAGTTCCCATATTACTCCTTGTGACTTGGTTTCCAGATGTCCGTGACCAGTGTTATTGTCATTAAAGACATCAAAGACACCAGAGTGGGCCCCCTTTCTTAGCATATCATGAATCAGGTCCATGGCTTGAAGGGATCAAACTCCAAGCTTCTGGATATCAGGGGCTACATGGAGAAAGTGGCAATGGACAAGTTACCCATCAATCATCAGATAATCTACCAGCTGCAGGATGTCTTCAATCTGTTGCCTGATGTTAGCCTGTAAGAATTTGTCAAGGGGTTTACCTGAAGACCAATGACCATATGGTGGTGGTGTACTTGGCATCACTGATCTCCTCAGTGGTTGCCTTATGCAACCTTGTCAACAAGATTGCCAACCTGGATGCATAGAAGAAGGGGGGGGGGTCAGGAAAAGGAGAAGAGGAAAAAGGAGAGGAAAGATGACAAGAAGAAAGACAAAGATAAGGAAAAGGGTGATGTCAAGAAAGAAGAGAAAAAGGAGAAATAATAAAACTTGGTGTTTTTTTATTTTTGGAATTAAAATATTGCAGGCTGAATGAAGACACTGCTAGAGGGTTCTTTTCACTGTCAAGTACTTCTCATAATGTTCTTTTGATAGTTCTCTGCCTTATCTCAGAAAGGGAAGCCCCTTGCTATGGGATCATTCAAGTAAGTGGGAGGGTAAAGGGGACCAAGTTCCCCTAAAGTGGCAGCTATGACACAAGCATGTGATATTGGGGTTTTATGGTCTGGGCCTCAAGACTTGTGTGGAAAGTGAGGAGGAGCAAAGACTTAATGTAGTTTACTTTATTTTTTCCAGTAAAACTATGTTTTGGAGGGTAAGAAAGAATCCTATGTCTAGTCAATAAGCATTTAATAAGCATTTGCTAAATGCCAAATGCAATGCTAAGTTCTAGGTCTATGTTGTTGCCCTTTGTTCTTGAAAAGGACCAAAATGACAACACTATACCAGAGTCAAGTTTTACTGTGTCTGACTGTGGCTGATCAGACCAACGTGACCTCAGAATGTTCTACCACAGGTTGGGGACAAATAGTCCTTGTGAATCTTTGGAGTGGATTCTCTAAGTTTGCATATTTTGTGTCTCTCTTGAGCTACCTCAATTCTGCTTTGACCATAGAGCACAGAACCTTTTCTGATGTGGGCACACCATACTGAGCAGTCCTGTGCCCAGTGTCTCCCATGTCATACAATCAATTCCAAAGTTCTTAAGAGAGACCTTAAGAGTGTCCTTGTATTGCTTCTTCTGACCACCATGTGAATCTAGAAATATAAATAGAAGCTAAAAGGCAGTCCCTACCCTTAGGGAGCTTATATTCTAATGGGACAATACATAAAAGGAGACTGAAAAGGTGGGTGTAGGATAGTTACTTGGGACATGGTGACAAAGTCCAAAGAACGATGGATGATAGCAAGTACCTAACTTGAGGACCTTCTAGGCCTTCCCTCCAGACACCCAAATGGCACAGCAGTTAGCTTGCTTGTGCCAAGGCAACCTTCATTGCTTCTTCACTCACACCACATCCCCTCACTTGTGCCCCATTGCCACTTCAAGGATGTCCCTCCATCAACATCATTCAGTAACCTCTTTTCTTTTGAGGTTCATACCTCATGCCTCATATCATCCATATTTATCACTCAAACAAGATTCTGGTAGCTATTATCTTATAGACCTCAATTTCTTTCTTTCTTCAATGAGTTCAGTACCTGATTCACAGTCTTTCTTTCTTCCCTAACTCCTACCCTTATACTAGGTGACTTCAACATGCACACGGATGCTACCTCAAACACCCTAATCTCCCAATTCCTCAAATTATTTCCTTTGACCAGCTTTTACTCAACCCAACCTCAGCCACACGTGAAGATGGTCATACTTTTGATCTTACCATGGGCCACAAATCCGCTACTTTCTGTGTTCATAACTTCTGAAACTCCTTTATCTGATCACAATCTGATATCATTCCCCTACTCTGCTTTGTAACCTCAAAACCCTATTCTTTGTCTTCACCACAACCTCTAATCTCTTTACTCTTGTGTTTCTTTCCCAGGACATTACTCCTACACTGGCTACACTCTCCTTACTTCCCCATCTTGATTCTTCAGTAAACTAGTTCAAATTTATTCCATCTTCTTCTATTGATTCCTTTGTCCCCTTATCCTTGCCAAGCCTCAGTCAGTCCTGGATTATTCCCAGCATCTGCTATCTTCCTTTCTACCAATGAGCTGCTGAGAAAAGTTGGAGAAACCTTTCCCTGGGAGATTAGGGCAAAAATGCAGGCAAACAAAAAAGGTCAGTAATTAAAACCCATCAGCCTTTAGAAGCTTAACTTTGCCTTTTTTTTAAAAAATCCCCAACACTTAGCATGGTGCTTGATATATATTAAGCACCTAAAAATACTGACTTCTTGACTGTAAGAATAAGGTCACATGCTATAGATTTAGAGAAGGGATGGAAATATAGCACACAATAAAGTATTTTTAAAAATATCTTGACCACAGTATTTGTCTATGATTGGTACTTCGGGCCAATGTATTAAACTTAGGATGTAAACTTTATGTATCTTCTTTCCTTCCTTTCAACTTTCTTCTTCTTCTTTGCTCAATATTCCCAAACAGCTTCAAAGAGGATCTGGGATATAATTCTGTGTCATGGTGTCTATGTGAGCATGTTTCTACCCACCAAAGTTGGTGTGCCCAAGGCAGAGCTGGAGAGGTAATCAAGTTTTTATTGAATTCCTGCTTTGTGCCCATAACTGCTTCGCTTTAGAAGCAGTTAGGTGGTACAGCAAATAAGAATGCTGGAGCTGAGAAATCCTATGCACAAATTTGACCTCAAAACTTACTACTTGTGTGAGCCTGGGCAAATCAGTTAATCTCTGACTACCTCAGGTTCCTTAACTGTAAAATAGGGATGATCACAGCACCTGTCTCCCAGGGTTGCTGTGAGGATCAAATGAGATAATTTTTGAAAAGCACTTAGCACAATGCCTGACACACATCTACCTCTCACCTCTATGGAGTACCTTTGCACAGGTGCTTAATAAATGCGTGTTTCCTAGGCTACAGGTTATCCCAAAAGTCTTAGCGCACTCTTAAGCTATTAAAGCTTAACAGAGTCCTTTCTTCCTAAGTTATTAAAAGCTTAAAAATTTGCACTATGACTTTTGGGACACCCTGTATAAGGTACAATTCTGACTTTGCTCCCCAAACTGTATATGGTATTACTCCACTGATCTCTTCATTTCTTAACCTTGTAAGGCCTGCTTTCAGTCATCCTAAATCTTATGACTGATGCCCTGGAAGCATACTTTTGTGGAAAAATATAGAAGTCTAGTTCTTTCTTACTCTCTCAGAGATTTCCCTGAGCCTCCTCCCTAAAGAGAGACAGTGTTTTGAAGTAGACAGAGAGCTGGTCTCACAGCCAGGAACACCAAGGCTCAAGTGTACCCTCTGACACTTAACTGGCTGTATGATCCTGGTTATCACTTAATTTCTCAATACAACATTTGAGACTAAGAATTGCAGAATTGTCAATACACTTTGGTAAAGGGAGTTCCTTCATCAAAGAAATCATAGGTCCAGACCAGAAAAGAAAAAAAAAGTGTTCCATAGTATTGCTGGAGTATATATGATTTTGAAGAGACAGGATGATGGAGAGTAGAGAGGGTAAACCTGGGATTCCAGAAGATCGGAGTTTAAATTCAGCCTCTAACACATACTGGCCCATCTGATGCCCCAGGCAATTCCCTGAGATTAAGTTATGGACCAGGAGTTTCCACTAGGGAGAATACCTCATGGTGATGAAATCATAGGTGTGACTCCTCCTCACACATAAACATTTATGAATGTACATTTCCTCAAGTTGATTTTTATATTATCTTCTCACTACCTCCAACCAACTAAATTATAAACTGTTTGAGGAAAGGTACAATGTCTTTAACCACATTTTTTTTTTCATTTTCAGAGTGCTCTAAGACAATTCTGTGTACCCAGCAGGCAATGCCTCCTGACTAAACACCTCCCATTTTATGCAAAAGAGAAACTACCACTTCCTTCCCTAAACAAAGCTCTATCATAAATTGTCAGAGAAGCTCTTTTCCTTAGATTCCACCTCCCTTTGTTATATGGGCAATTAAGATCTCTGGGGAGAAGTTACTAGTTAGCATTTCTAGACTTGAAATCTAATACCTCAGAGACTAGGAGCCTTTTAAATGCTGGCTTTCTTTTCCTTGGAAGAAAAAGTATTGCTCTCTGCTAAACTTTTACCAACATTATATGGCAATTTACAAATTTATTTTTAATTGGAGAGTTGGAACACTGAAGAATCTGAGTGCCTATAAAAAGATTTATGAATTTGGATGTTTCAAATACCTGGAAAGAAAACTGGCTCTGGAAGCTGGCAGTCCCAGGTTCAAACACTGCCTCTGACATTTACTCCCTGTATAACGTGGACAAGTCACTAAATCTTGTTGCGTATCAGTTTCCTTAACTATAAAAATGAAGAGATTACACTAGATAGCCTCTGAGGTCCCTTTGAGCTCTAGATCTTTGCACCTATGTCTGCAGTATAAATAATTTTTAAAAAAGTAACCAAAATTTGAGAACTAAATACAATTCTCTTTTTGGTATATTTGATAATCTTTTTTTTTTTTAGGCAAGTGGGGTTAAGTGACTTGCCCAGGGTCACACAGTGATCCAATAATCTTTAGAAAATGCACTGAAATCGATCCCCTAAACCCTGATTTTTCTTTCATTTGTTAAGGGGTGAAGATAATACTAAAAATTAACAGTCACACGTCATAAAGCTTCATAAAAGAACATGTGTTATACAATGGCAAAAGTCACCATCAACGAAAAAATGTTAATACAATTGATAAGCCCTTCTTCCTCAATTTGGTCTCCACTGCTTATAAAAAGGAATGTTATTCTAAATGACCAAGAAGATATTGTTGGCAGATACCTTAGTACAGTAGAGAGATCACTGGCTCTAGAGTTTAAATCCTACCTTTGATGACTACTACTTGTGAGTGTTTGGACAAGTCAGTTCATCTCCCTGGACCTCAGTTTACTCATCTGTCAAAGGGGTTGAATTAAATGTCCTGGGGCAGCTAGGTGGCACAGTAGAGACAGCACCAGCTCTGGAGTCAGGAGACCTGAGTTCAAATCTTCAGACACTTACCAGCTGTGTGACACATGCAAGTCACTTAACCCCCAGCTGCCTCCAAAAAAATTTAAAATTTTTTTTAAATGCCCTGAGGTTCCTTTAGCTCTAGATCTATGACACTAAGATATCATTGCTAACCACAGCTAAAAAGTGGCAAATTGGTATCTTCGCCAAGAAAACCCACAGATGGGGTCATATGTATATATGTAATGCAGAACATTATTTTACCATTTAGGTAGTAGGGCCCTTTAAGCCATGGAAAGCAGAAATTACTGCTTAATCTTACCCCAGACCTCTTTCCTCCTAAATCTAAACAATAGTGAAATGCACTCTTGCACAGCTCAGCATAGTCCATACCTCCAACACAAATGGATAAGAAAGCTTGCAATATAATTGCTTTAGATAATTATGTTTATACCAGAGACCAGGACACCTGGTCTGGTTTATGCAATCTCTGACCTGTAGTAATGGGGTGCTTGGGTGCTTGTACTTGTGCCCCAATTTCTCCCTAGTCTCAGAAACACTGTCTCTGACAACCATTCCCCAGCCCAAGGACACTGTGCCTAGCAGTTATTCATGCATGGGCCTCAGCATGACCCTTATCTCTCTCCCTGGTATAGCTACACAGAGCTGGGCTGCTCAGGGCCCAGCCCTCAGATCATGTCTCCGGAAGCCTCCCAATTCCTTAGTAAGTTCCTGGGTTGTGAGAAAGCTTTCCCTTGTTGCAGAGCATTCTCTCATCAAGACAGAGGGAGAGGGGTGTCCTTGGCCAGCCCAAGGGCTCTTCCTCCTGCCAGACTCCAAAGATCCATCCCCCTCCCTGTCCGGTATACTCCCTATACTTTCCCATCCATAGCCCTCAAGGACACCTGCACCTTTGGATTACCTCATCAGTGTTCCTGGCATTTCTTTCCCATGTTCTTTTCCATATAAAGCCTAGCTCGAACCCTGATCGGGGCTGCTTGATTTGGGTGTGCATACCCCTTGCAGCTGCACGCTAATAAATCCACATTTTAAATTACATCTGGGTCTTGCTCGCTGATTTCTTGGTACAATATGTGTGTGTGTGTGTGTGTGTGTGTGTGTGTGTGTGTGTGTGTGTGTGTGTGTGTATGTATGTATATATTAATTACCTGTTACACAAAGAGCTGGACATGACTGAAAAATGACTGAACAAGGCAAAAACCTCAGTCCACTGATAATTTGGCATATACTACTGCCACTCCATTTGCTTATTTTTCATCACCTGTATCTCTGAAGTCATATCTCTGGCTTAATTTCACATGAAATGTCATCATTATCCAATAACTAATTTTATATTATCAGTCATTATAACATTGACATATAGAATGCCCAAAAAGTCTTAGTGCAGTTTTAAGTTTTAATAGTGTAACTGTACTGTTAAGTGGCACAGTAGATAGAATGCTGGGCCTGGAGTCAGGAAAACCCTTCTTACTGAGTTCAAATCTGAGCCTCAGACACTTACTAGCTGTGTGACCCTGAGCAAATCAATCACTTAACCTTGCTTGCCTTAGTTAATGCCTATAAAATGAACCAGAGCAGGAAATGGCAAACTCTTCTAGTATCTTTGCTAAGAAAGCCCCAAAAGGGGTCACAAGAATCAGATACAACTGAAAAATAACTAAATAACAACAAAAATTCTCTTCTAGGGAAAATAAAACCCCTAGTTCAGACCTCTGTAACATCTTACTTATGGCCAAGGACCCCTTTCCTTCTTTCCCCTTCATGTTTCTGAAGTCTTGGCCTAGGCAGCAATGACCTCTTTGGACTCTGCTACTAGGCAGCAGAGATCTGACTTTAACATAGTCAAAAGTCTAACAAACAGGTAACAAATAGATCTGATTCATGGACTAAGATAATATTTCTTAAAAAATTATTTGACATCTTTTCACAACAGTCTTTTGTGATATAACACTGTATGCCCCCCCCCCATTGAAACTTTGCTTGTAACAAAGGAAAAAGATTAGGCAAAAATAATACATAGTGACTGCATAACAATGCATGCAACATTCTGTCCCTATTGTCCCTTGCCTCTCTGCCAAGAGGAAGGGGGTTGTTATGTTTCATTACCTAGCTCTGGAACCATGAATGGCTATCAGAGTATGGCTTCCTTTTTCCTTTTACATTGTTGTTCTTTTAATAACCTTCTTCAATCTTTCAAAAGATCTATGATTTCCTCAGTGTGACTATTCTATCACCACATATTACAACACCTCCATTCCTTAGTAAATGTCCTTCATTCATAGCTATGGCCCAGAAAAACTGTGTTGCCAGAATCTGGAGTCCTGCCATGAACACTAGCAATAAACATGATTACTTTATTTCAGAATGGGCTAAAGATGGTTATAACTTCCTATCTTTCACAAATCTCTTATATGTTAACCTTTCTATCTGATGTTTACCAACGTTGAAACCCTTAAGAAGAAACAAAAGGCTAACATGATCCAACTTATGGATCGATGACCTTATTTTGAACTCTGCAGTCTCTGAGGTCCCTCCTAGGTACAGATCTATAAATCAGAGGCTTGGCAGAGCCAGCTCAAAGAAGCT